TTTCATCCGACCCTCGTCGTCCCCAGGTGCTGCAGGCTTCTTCTTTGTGAGGAAAAAGGAGGGTGATCTCCGCCCCTGTATTGACTACAGAGGACTGAACAAGATCACAGTCAGAGATCGCCATCCTCTGCCGCTCCTCACGTCCGCCCTGGATGCCATCTCCCAGGCGCGGATTTTCACTAAGCTGGACCTCTGGAGCGCCTACAACCTGGTCCGTATCAAAGCTGGAGATGAGTGGAAGACGGCGTTCATCACCCCCACCGGTCACTGGGAGTACCAGGTCATGCCCTTCGGACTGTGCAATAGCCCCGCCGTTTTCCAACGCTTCATCAATGATGTCCTCCGTTACATGTTGGGATGGTGGGTGTTTGCCTACCTGGACGACATCCTGATAACTCCAAGTCAGAGGCTGAACACCACCACCATGTTCGCGCGGTCCTGACCCGGCTCCTGGACAACAACCTGTTCTGCAAGCCCGAGAAGTGCTCCTTCCACCAGAGGTCCGTTTCATTCCTGGGCTACCTGATCTCAGATCAGGGTCTAACCATGAACCCTCAGAAAGTCCAGGCAGTTAAGGACTGGCCCCTACCTACCAGCCTAAAGCAACTGCAGAGTTTTATGGGTTTCTGCAACTTCTACCGTCGATTTATCAAAGACTTTAGCACCATTGTAGCACCTCTCACTTCTCTCACCCGACCGAGCCCTCCTGGTCAACCGTTCCGGCTCACCCCAGACGCCGTTCGGGCCTTCCACTACCTAGTCGCTCGTTTCACATCGGCTCCTATCCTGCGCCACCCGGACCAGGCAGTCCCTTTTGTGGTCGAGGTCGACGCCTCGGATGTCGGCGCCGGCGCCATCCTGTCCCAAGGCGGCCCCGACGACAGGCTACATCCCTGTGCCTACTTCTCCAGGAAGTTCTCCACCACCCAGCAGAAGTACGGCGTGGGGGATCGTGAACTGCTAGCCATAAAATGGGCGTTGGAGGAATGGAGGCAGTGGCTTCTGGGCACCACTCAGCCGTTCACCATCTGGACTGACCACCAGAACCTAACCCACATACGGTCCGCCAAGCAGTTAAATCCTCGCCAGGCACGCTGGGCCCTCTTCTTCGAACCCTACGAGTTCCATCTCGCTTATCGCCCCGGGACAAAGAACCAGAAGGCGGACGCCCTCTCCCGCCAGTTCACCCATTCAGCGCCCACGTCCGAGCCGGCGCCCATCCTCCCGGAGCACCGTTTTGTGGCCCACCTTGGGTGGCTGTTGGAAGAGGCCATCCAAAACGCCCTCCAGGGTGACCCAGCGCCACCAGAGACCCCCGCCGGTCGGCTCTACGTCCCCTCGGCCTGTCGCAGTGAAGCGTTGTCCTGGGCCCACTCATCACGCCTGTCTGGTCACGCAGGCTTCTCTCGGACTCTCAGGTTCCTTAAACGGGCTCTCTGGTGGCCACGTATGGAGAGGGATGTTAAGGAATACACAAGCGCTTGTGACGTCTGCGCCCGCTCTAAGGCATCCACCCAGGCTCCGGTTGGCACCCTCAGACCTCTTCCGGTGCCCAGCCGCCCCTGGTCCCATGTGGGGCTGGACTTTGTCACGGGTCTCCCGCCGGTCAACGACCTCGACACCATCCTGACGGTCACTGACCGGTTTTCCAAGGCTGTTCACTTCATCGCCCTCCCGGGCCTCCCCTCGGCCCGACGCACTGCAGAACTGTTTCTGGAGAACGTGGTGCGCCTCCACGGGTTCCCGGTAGACGTGGTCTCGGATCGTGGTCCCCAGTTCATGGCCCATTTCTGGAAAGCCTTCTGCCATCTAGTGGGAGCCTCTGTCCGCCTGTCTTCGGGCTACCACCCACAGACCAATGGTCAAACGGAGCGGGCAAACCAACAGTTGGGCCGGTACCTCTGCTGCTTTGTTTCGGCGCAGCCCTCGCAGTGGCCTAAGTACCTCCTCTGGGCGGAGCTGTCTCATAATCTCCACACCTCCTCGGCCACTCAGATGTCCCCTTTCGAGGTCTGCTATGGCTATCAGCCCCCGGTCTTTGCCCACCAGGAACCCGAAGTCGCGGTGCCGGCCGCTCAATCCCTGGTGAGGCGCTGCAAAAATGCATGGATCAAGGCGCGGGCCTCCATCACCCGGGCCAACGCCCGTTACTCCCACCAACACCTCCGCAGGCACCGCCCGGGCCCCTCCTATGCTCCAGGGGACAGGGTCTGGGTGTCCACGGCAGGCCTCCGGGTCCGCGCCGGTTCCAGGAAGCTCGCTCCCCGATTCCTCGGACCCTACCCCGTGCAGAAGGTAATCAACCCGGACACGTACCGGCTGCGGCTGCCTACAAGCCTTCGCGTCCATCCCACCTTCCACACCTCCCGGCTCAAACCTTATGTGGAATCCTCACTCCTGCCGCCTCGGGCTCCGGCGTCTCCGCCGGCCCGCTTCCTTGACGGTGAGCCCATCTACACCGTCCGGCGCATTCTGGACGCTCGCCGCCGGGGTCGGGGTTGGCAGTACCTTGTGGATTGGGCGGACTACGGCCCAGAGGAACGCTCCTGGGAGCCGGCCCGCTCCATCTTGGACCCTGCCCTCATCTCGGACTTCTGGGCCCACCGAGGTGGCCCGGGGACTTCTGGAGCCGTCCCTGGACCGGGGGGTCCTGTCAGAGTCCAAGCCCCCAGGCCGGGCTCTCCCAGCTGACCGGCTTCTGTCTCGGACCATTACCCAGCATGCCCCTCGCGGGGATTCCCTCCACGTTGCACCTGCGTCATCCATGTCTATATATGGAAGACGCCACACCGGCTCTTCACTCAGTCATCGTTCCACCGTGTTCCATGATCAGAGTATTCAGAAGCTAAGACAGTTAAACCTCCACCTTTCTAACTCAGACCTCATCCTTCCGTCAGCCTTTTCAGCACCGCTTGCAGCCAGCAGTCTCTAATAAAAGCTCTTACTCCCGAACCCAGTCTTCGAGTCTGACATGTGTATGCAGTCTTTTTAAGTTTTCCTCCCAAATTTTGTAGCTGCAAAGATTTACCAAATAATTAAATAAGATACACCAAATTACGTTCAATGCTAATTAATATAGACATGAAGGATGAAAACAACAGTTACAGAAACTCAGGAATCTCCTAGAAGATTATTGTACAAGTTATTAACCTTGAGGACAACAATCCATTACACATATCCCCTCTTAGCTCTGCCATTTTGCATTATGTCTAATCTTGTTGTCTTCTATTGGAAATCCATGACCTTAAAGCATTTCAAAATAAAGCAAAGAGCCATTCATACATGACGCGAGCCGTCGTGCAGAGAAATAATCAGCTTTTTCCTTCACGTACTGCAGATAAATCAGAAAAAAAAGGTTACGTGTGACAAAAGAAAAGAAGAAACTTGGAGTTATTTTTGTGGTGTAGAAATGGCTAGGAAGAAATAAATGTTTGTATGTGTCTGGGTGCTTTTTATACAGAACAGGTGCATATTTTTTACTGATGGAGGACAGCCACTGTAGGGCTCCTGGAGAAATTTAAGTAGAAAAGATTTTTTTCTTGAGCTCTGAAGCACTTGCCGACAGGGATAAAAGTATTACAGGTATTTATGGTTCTTATACTTACTTGTCACAGTTTATTTTTAGGGATGTGTACCTATGGTCCACATTTATGGGAAGACTGCTAAGTCATTTAATCCCAGTCGTTTGTTGTAGATGGCCCAAATCCTTCTCAGACAACATGTTTTTAGAAGAATGAAATGAATAAGTGATTTAAGGAAAAACAATAACATTTAGTGGGAACAGAATATTTATTGCTGAATGTAAAAGGCAACAAAATATAGCTTTTTATTTAGAGAACCAGTTTTAAGTTTAAAGGTGTGGTTGACTGAAAAAACATTTTTAATGAATATTTCTGAGTTTTTCACTTATGGTGAACGTGACAATAGTCTCCTACACCTATCTCCTGTGTTAGGTTCTGATAGAAAACAGATGGTGAAATGCTAAGAATTGAAAATCCTCACATATCTAAATCACGCTGTGAATTTGCTCACCTTTCCCACCATGGCTCGCGCCCACCCACATGTAGACTTCTTTTTATTTATTATTTTGCAGTGTGGAGAGAGCAGAGTGCCTGAGTGATAGTGACTTTGCAACATGGCTGAATGTGTTATCCAATTAGAAGCGAGGTGTGTGCATATCATTCATAATAATGTGCAATCCTGCTGTTTTTAGCTCACCTCTGCACTAGCAAACTTCCGCATCTCAGAACAGGAGCATCATAGTTTTATTTATTTTTTTATGACTCATAAGGCACTGATTTACACTAAATAACACAGGAAATGTATTGAATAAACAAGTAAACCACACATTTATTGATAAATCTAATGTAAACACACACACATACATTTAAAATAGGTGTATTACTTTCATTATTTCATATTTCAAACTGTAAAGGGTTAAGTTGCAACATTATTCCACTATGTCTGAGGAAACCTATAACTGTCGGTATATTACCGTGTACCAGCTTTTCTCTGCCAGTCTTTAACCTTTGTTATAAATCTCATCTCAGATTTTCTATATGAAGAAAACGTTAATATCATAATTAATTCAGCTTAAATATTAGGACAGATATGAAAGATTACGGTGCTGCGAGCTCTCCAGATGACAAACTGATGCATATCAGGCTGATGACACCTGATACGGTGATAACATTCAAATTATATGCACACAAAAAGCCCACAGTCACAGTGAGGGATAGTGATCCAAGTTAGGTTGATAGGAATGCCTGGATGTATTGCTGTCACTACCCTGGTGCATGTTTGCTAATATTCCTTGATGTGTCTTGAGCGACGAGGCAAATGAAACGTAAGGGCTTCACCTCGACAGGTGGAAAGATGTAAACATTGGTGTTGCTGAGGAAGCGACAGCTTAACTTTGATGTGATGTGAGCAAAGTGTTGGATAAAGTACTGCCTTCCAAGATAAAACATCTTCTCTGTTTCTGTTTGTGTCTCCTGCAGATCTCAGACTGCTCAATGCCAATAGCTACTTACCTTTTTGAAATTGTTCCTCCATCTCCCTGCTGCTAACAAGACATTCCTTCTCTCACATTTTGACCCTTGTTGCAATGGAGAACCTCAGTGAACTCCAGAACCCACTGCTGGACAAAAACAGTAAGCACATGGTTAACGGCTACGGGGGAGAATTCCCAAATAACCAGTACCAAGAAAACATTATTAACTACTTTGCTGGAGGGGGTGGAGGAGGTGAGGGTGGTGGAGGAGGAAAAGTAAATAATGGCAATGTGCTGAGTGGAGGTGGTTGCAATAACAACGGAAAGATGAAGTCTCAGCAGTTTCTGGATGCCACCTCTCTTCATCTGGCTGTGGAGGCCTTCTATAGGCCCAACTTCATCCTGTACAAGGAGGACAGTGGCAGCCTCAAGGCTAAGGAATACAAAACGGAGTGCTGTGAGACAACCTTCACAGAGAAGGCCAAGGAGGTGTCCAACACAACTGGAGTAGATACGCCCGCCACAGAGGACCCTCAGACCAAACTGCTGGAGGATGGCGACCACGTAAAGATTCAGACCGTTTCTTACGAGGTGGACGAAGAAGAGTATGTGGAATATGAGGTAAGAATAAAGGGTAATAAACATAAATGCATGACATTTTCACAGAATAATCATTTTAAAGCTGATTGGGTCGGCTATAGAGATACTTATTAAATATTCAGTGATAGTGTATATACTATTTTATGTGTGTGTATATACATATATATATATATATATATATATATATATATATATATATATATATACACACACACACACACATATATATATATATATATATATATATATATATATATATATATATATATATATGTATATATATATATATATGTATACATATATATACACATATGTATATATATATATATATACACATATAAAAATATATATATATATATATATATATATATATATATATATATATATATATATATATATGTATACATGTGTGTGTGCGTGTGTGTGTGTGTGTGTGTACCCCTAGTTTACCTAAAATATTCATAATTTCTTTTACTTGTTCAGGGTGTTTGTTCAAATGAGGCAGATTTGATTTTCGTGCAAAGATTTCGCCAACTTCATTGAGTTTTACATTTACAACACATATATCCTTATTTAGCACAGCTAGTCAACCTTGTGATGTGAGAGTTTCATAAACCTAGCAGCACTGTTAGTTTTAGAGATCTGACCGTAAACACCAGAGGAGACCGAGGAGTTTCTGGCTCTGCAGACACACCAATATTTGGCGCGTTATAGCCCTGCACTGATCTGGTCAAAAGGCTCCATGGCACAAACAGTGATTAGCTTGATCTCTGATGATTGTTTAGGTGAAATCCCGTAATTCTAAGAATCTGTAATAGATTTGTGTTGCTGACTAAGACCAGGTCCATCTCTGAATGAAATGACTCTTATATGCATGCGGTATGTTTGTATGTACATTCTCACACTAAAGAATTGGGCTCACCTCTTTTTTTCACACTGGCATTTTAATAATCTTATTTGATCCACTGACCTTTCTCTCATTTCCCAGCACTGGTGAAATTCATAGCTACATAATAAGATATCTCACATACCTGTCTAGACAGAGATGCAAGATGCCAACGTTGCACAGAATTAGATGCAGAATGTTCTGTCTCAACTGGCAGAATCAATAGGAAGAAGCACCTTAAAAGATTTAAAGGATCGGACAGGCAGAACAGGAAGTTAAAGTCAGTGTCCTGCAACACCAAATGAATCTAGTAGAAACAGCACTGATAACTGATAAATATGGAGCTGCTTCAGTGCAACGTGATATGTGCACCTATAGCTGCTGGGTTCACTTACTGCATTTCACATTGCGACTAAATGAATATTCAGTGGAGGAAAGCCACATCTTAAGTTAACTTCTTTGGATTTACTTCACCTCAGAGAGTTAGATAAGAGAAACTTTAATGATTGACATAATTGAGTCCTCCGTCCTAAATGTTTACTTGCACTCATGCACACATTCCAACAAAGACTAATGTGTTAAGAGTATACCATATCTAACTCATCTACTAAAGCCTGACCCCACACTTGAAGATCTCAGGCTAATTTAAACGGTTTTCAACAAGTTTGCTTTTCTAAGTTTGCATTTTTAGATTACAAAACAATTTTCCAAAGCTACACTGTAGAATTCCTTTCAGTTTCAAATGCTTTTATGTACAATAATTTTAAGTTTATGCACCTAAACCTTGTCCAATTCACACTGACACGCTGTTAATCAACTTTTGGTCCAAATCCAAACTGATTGCAGCTTATCTTTGCATAATCAGTGCTTGACGTTTGTCAGAATTTCTGCTTGTCAGGTTTCTTCTTGAGGATTAACCACAAGTTTTTGAGGTCCATTTTCTGGACATGAACCCAAAATGTTTCTTTTGTTCCCATAGCTACCTAGCTCAGACTTTAGCCTTATAATGCAGTGCTACATCATGCTGTTCATATTGTTCATGATCAAACTGGTCTCAGATGGTTGGGAGGAGTTCCTCTAGGAGGATGTTTTGGTACCATTCGTTATTCATGGCTGTGTTTTAAAGATCAAACCTTTGTCGCACTGAGCTAGAAGCCTAGTTAACGTTTCTGTGTCTGCGTCGGTGTGGAGACACGCAACACCCTTATCCGTCCTTGCGAAGGCTCTCCAGCAGGCTAACAAGGAAGGACGAAGTCGAGCCCACCTTTCTAATCATCTGTCCAACGAGACGTAGAACACAAGCTTGTAATTGGTCAGGACCATCACTTTGTCAACAGCACCGCCACTGCACCCCCAAAAACGAAGGAAGCCAAAGATATCTAGCAACAGACACAGAGTAGATTGAAGAATACCTCACGAAAAAACTCTAAAAATATTAATGTTTTATTCACCATTGACTAAATTCAAGATACGCAGCAAGCGTTTTATTTGTGGACACGAATGATGGGAAACGTGGGTTTAGAGGTGGTAAGCGCATGAAGAGGTGGAGGGACAATTTTGTCTGTGTTAAAAGGTATCTGAAATGTAAAAAATACAATATAAACCAAATAGTAATAGCACGATCTTGGACCAGATCCATGACAGAACGGCGCTACGCCCTCTTTTGTCCTGGCAGGGAATTGTTTTGCAGCAATCCCCAGGAGACAGAGAAGTCTGAGAGCAAATTGTTTCTGTCAGTGCGTGTGCATCTCTCCCTTGTGGAGCTGACACAGAAGTATAAACTAGGCTCAACTCCACGCATGCATGGTATCAGGATGCTCTATAGTCAGAAAGAATCAGAACTGATAGTAACACTCACCTTTTTCACTCTGATCCAACAGCTAGATCAAGTTTAGGAGACTGTCTGGATGCTAACAGGATTTTCTTTGGTGCCCCTCACAAATGAAGATAATTCTTCAATTAAATTAGTTTTGATGGAATTAAATACAATCCCATCTGACCACCCATCATACACATTCTGGAGTGTATGCAAATTAATGTCATGAAAGCAAAGGCAGCAAATTTTTACAAATTGAAGTGCAATGGTTGACGAGGAGGTGTTGTTTCGGTCCACTTGCGTACTGTTTTGGTTTATTTTTTCTGTTAAATAATTAGTTTTTATTTGTGTGATTTAAGTGCAGCAGATAAAAGTTCCTCTCCGAGTTTCCGCACAGACGCTGTATGGAGTGACGCTGCAGGCGCCGGATCTCTGTTTAAAAAATGTGATCTGCAAATTCTGATCATCGCCTTTCAGAGCGGATCAAACCAGCTGGCTGTCGCTGCTGCTGTGGAGCCTGTAGGGACGCTGAACGGAACGTTGCATCGCCCCTGTAGCAAAAATGTAAACTAACACGTCTGTTGAACTTTTCCCCTGGGACAATTGATGTAAAGTTTTCATCATACAACGAAAAATGTGGCGCGGAGGAAGTTCGTTATTTAATACGAGTTTTAAAGAAGAAACTCTGGGCGGTGTGAGGTGAGTTTTTAAGGCTCGCTGCAGAAATAAAATCACAGAGCATCAACAGTCAAACACAACACTTGTCTGTATGAGCGTGACACTCATAGCTGCACAAATAACCTGTGAAATAATTAAAGACATTATGCTAGATCAGTAGCATGTGATGACACCTGGTTCTGCTCACGCTTTAGATATTAAATAAAGAAATCTAATAATATACCAAAAATGAATCAAACAGAGCTCTTCAAAACACTGAACCGAACCGAATACGATTTTAGCGTACCGTTACACCCCTAGTTACAAATGATTTTTGTGTCATTTCATTAATCATTTAATAACATTCTCAATCTCAGTCTTGTCATTTTGCTACCTATCTGACCCAAATAAAGTTTCTCTTGAAGCCATTCGATTCAAGAAAGAAAGGTTTTCACATTCCAGTAGCCAGAATAGTCATTTGACCTCATCGTGCACTCAGCCCAAATATATTGTTTGTAGTGGCGGTGACTTTCCTTTTCCAGATGGTAATTCCTCATGTCAAGTTTTTGCCTTTTCAACCAGACGTATCAGAAATGTTTCTCATAGACATTGTTGATGTTTTCTGGGTCTTGTTTACTTCGCTACCCTCCTTCTTTCTCAGTCAGAACAAACGGATCATTGTTGGATGATGTAAAACATGTTGCTGCTGCTGCTGCTGACATTCAAGTGTTGGCACAGCTGGAGATGTATTTGTGTTGATTGTCTTTATCAGCTCATTGGTGAGGACATGAACAAATGAGAGTACAAGTCAGCGCTGAGCCATTTTGTAAGATGGCTGAAGCATCGTAAAGTGTCACAATACTGAGCTTTTTATTATTCTCTGTTGCCTCTTTTTGTGCGTATGTGCCCTTGTGCAGACATCTCCATATTGCTTGAATATGCCAAACTGTAAATCTTGTTTGCACAGAATTGAGTTCAGAAAGCTTATTCATGTACAGATTTACACCACAGACTACCAGCAATTTGTGTTTGAAGTGCTGGAAAAAGGCTCCTTTTATAGTCTGAAATAAAAGGAAGTTATTATGAATAACTGGTGGCTACAGTACTCCAATGTATTATGACCTGAATCACATTAAAAGAGTCATAGCATGTAGAAGACTGCAGCCAAGAATGTGTTTAAATTTGCTGCCCATGTAGTGAGAGAATCTCGCCAGCTGTCAGCAGATTTCTTTTCTCGAAGTCAGTAGGAACATTTCCCAATAATTTTCACTTCACATTTTAAAGAAATGTGAAGTTTTGAATGTATTTATCTTGTGTGGCTCTGTTGAAAGTTATCTTTTGTTATCTGTTTTTCGATTTATTCCACATAACCACTCAGGTGTCCTAGGTTTTGGCTGATTCAGCCCAAAACTGTGCAGGGAGAAAAACACGTTTAAAAATCTAACTTTTTTTTATTATCGGAGCTACAACTTTGCAAAGTCTTTTGCTGTGCCAGGTCGAACTTATGACAGCATTTAAAACATTGACTTTCATGCATTAAATTGGCAGTGTGTGGTTTCCTGCAGCTAGGGGGTGCTACATATGTCCATTTTAATGTTGTTTTTCACCATATTGTCGTGACTGTCGCTAGCTTAAAAACCATTACAGTGAATGTTGTTACCT